ATCAGACGCTGTTCCTGCCCCTCCAAGAAGGTGCTGCCGTCACCCACAGTCAGGTCTGGTCAGTCACTTACCTACGCGAACGAATAACGGCTTTATTCAGTTGGTTGGAGAGTAAGCAAACCCCACGGCTACTGTTAAGAAAGCTCTCGGACACTGGCCAGTGGAGGGAAGGGTCAAGCCTGGATTTGTGCCAGCACAAGGGGTGCAGTGGGCTGCAGGAGCAGCCTGGCTCTGCAGCACCATCTCCAAGCTGGATTGGGCTGGACTCACGTGCAAAATAAGTATTTTCCATTCTGAAGCTGCCTTGTAGCTGATGGACAGAAAAGGGACAGGAGCTGTACAGTCTGTGTCCTGCGCTAAAAATTTGCCTGCTTGATGTGAGACAGATAGAAGTGCTGTGTCTCCCAAGGCATCAACCCTGCTTTCATAATGGCTAAGCACTCCATGGTGCAATTATCCACAACACAAATATTGAAATATAAGCAATTTGTTCAATGTCAAAGGAGGATCATGATGAAGCCAAGTTCTCAAAACTGTGTCTTGTCAAGTTTACTGCTGTTCTCCTCTTCTCAGAGAGACTATCTGGAAATGTAGAGACATAGAACCAGCCATGGGTTATCATCACATCATTTTATTGAAGTTACATGAACACGCAACTGTGAGGAGCACTGGGCATCCAACTTTTTGACTGATGCCAACTTAAAAGCACATGTGTAAGACAGAACTGTAAAGCAAAGCTGTCTGCATCCCTGTAAGCATTTTAGAGCTGAGTAAGATAGCTAAAGGTGATTTAGAAAATGCTGGTGGTCAGGCAGTTGAACTGGATGATCATTGTAGGTCCCCCCCAACTGAACTATTCTATTCTAAGCAGAATTAAAATAAAATACTGTTGAAAGTATGTAGTTCTTTTCATAAAAGTTCTCTGCATTAGTCCTAAAGTTTTACTGCCTCAATAATTAAAACGGCGTAATTACTCATTCCATATCAACAAGTACATCTATATTTAAAATAAAAGTATTTGGTCAATAGGACATGCTGGTATGCCCTATTTTAAAGAAATTGCTTTTATCACCTTGGAATTTTATCTAGTGCTCACAAACACAAAATGAGAGAAGATAATTGCTTAGAGGAATTGAAAGTAAATACTATCATTTGTAATGTAAAATGGAGTTCCGAATACTAATGCATGAAAGCAAGCCTGCCCAGCTGACAGCTTGCAAGACACATCTGGCCTCCAGGACAATTTTCCACTCTTGTATGAAATTATGCACCTCATCTGACAACTGGCCTTAGTGTAAATAGGACTGATGTAATCCACTCCCAATTGCCAAGGAGTTGAAAAGTCTTGCATTAGATTTACAACTTGTTTATTCTTACCAATTGCAGAGGCCAAGGCATACTTCTGGCCCTATAAATCCTTACAGAATTCCCATGTCTAAGCAAGGGACATGAAAGTAAGCAAAGTAAAGTGCTAGATATAATGACTTACAGAAAAAATATGCATACACAGCACTTTGAGGAAGCAAGCACAGCATAGCTAGGTTGGCCCATGCAAACTTTAATTGAACTGCAGCAAATTAATAGCAGTGCGAACACATCATGACATAGCAACCACTGACCAACCAAGCAGTCTTGGAGAGTTTAGAATCTCATTTTGAGCCCTTACTGAAGCTGTGTCCCGTGTTCATCTGTATTATATTCTAACATAACATGACTGTGTATACATATCTGAAGTCTCACTCGTGTGTGCAGGGAACATGATAACTGAACTTCTGCTCACCAATTTTCCTTGCAGTTTTTTGTATCTACTATGTGCAGGGTATGAAGCAAGCACAGATGTTGTTATAGGCCTCTGGCATACCAGCTACTGATAAAATATTTTGTGTAATTACATTGTAAAGCTTCACAACATATGTTGGATTTTTCAATTCTAAAAAAAAAAAGAATTAGAAATCATAGTTTTGACTCCATCTTCAAATGTATTTAGTTTCTAATGCATTTGGATGATCACAAATGCCAGGTGTGCAAAATGAATTAATTCCTTTAACAATTAATTTTTTTAATTGCTAACTTCTGTATTTTATCCTAAAAGCCCAATTGACACAAGTAGTCCCAGTAAAATCCATGGTATGACAACAGGAATGACTGACTAATAACACAGGTAACTCTAGTAGGATTAAAAAAACCTTCAATTGGAGGATGTCTGTAATACTTCTGAGTGTTAAACAACATTATTAATACTTGAAATTACTATTAAACCTTTTACCCATACTAAGAAGGACTTGTAGGTTTTAAAATCAAACAGTTCTTTTTCCAATTATGTGACCTGGGGATAGCATCCTGTTTAATTTTGTGGGTTTCTTCCATTTATGCCTCAAGTTTTTGTTTCCTTGTTTTTGTTAAACACTTTATTTCATAACACACATTCTTTAAGTTATATTAAAAAAACAACTTTCCAACATCAGTGTGCTGATCATACTTTATTTTATTAAAATAAGTTACAAGACCCCAGCTTACTTTCCCATTTAATGGACAGAAGACATAGGCACATTTTTTACTCTGCCTTGCCATTTCACAGTTTTATATCATATGATATACCGTATCCATTCTTTTTTTCAGGTATTTACTTTTAAATAAGAGAATAAAAATGCAGTTACTGCAGAAAGGCAGTACCTGCTGTACCACTTGTAGTAGAGACTGAGCACAGCAGGTATAGGTAGCTTTATGGTTATGAAGTACATGAAGATCCTCAGGGTCACTGTATGTTCAAGACTGTTTTCTTCCTGAAGTCTTCTTGACATTTTTCAGTAACAACAAACCAACTGCTGTTTTGTAAGCTGTTGCTGTAAGCTGAACATGATAAAAAAGTTTGCTTCTGAAAGACTATTTTCGAATTAAGCAGAATGATAGCTCAGACAACCTGCTGTCTGCCTTGATACGCCCGCAGCTTCTCAGACACTTCATCCAGTGGTCAGTTGTTAAGGGCAATATAAAAGATGGCTATAAGGTTCGTTTTATTTATAATCCTTCCCATTGCTGCATTTTCAACAGTCTGTTTTCTAAATGAGGTCAATGCATGCTTGAACCAGAGACTTCAAACCATTTTAGAGATCTGTAAAGGTCTGGCCACTTCCCAAATGATCTCAACAACCCTAATTTCTTAGAAGGAGTTGGACCAAGAGACACTGAGGGCTGAGGAGCAGCGGGTGATAAGTCTCCACTGCTGCTTCCAGGTTGTCCTGAAAGGATGCTAGGGATACAAACTGGCCACCAAAGAATGACTCTGAAAGAAAGCCTCAGTTCTTTGTAATAAAATATATAAAATAAATCACCACATTTTCTTGCTTAACATTAGTTCTTTGGGCAGAAAGACTGTTCTGTGAAGGACATGCTACTAGCTGCTATTGAGATGATGTTACAGTTTAATTACCTCGGTGTTCACTACTTAGATTCCCTGGAATTATATATTATAATCCAATGAAAATCAAGAGTCTTCCCTTCACTCTTGCCAGGCAGATAAACTGAACTCCAAGCACACTGCAAGAAGAGGGATTTGCAATTAGCTCTTATAAAAATAACTTTGAATATATTCAAGAGCTGGGAAAGGCTTGTGTCCTTGCCAGTTTTCATCTGGCTTTCAGAAACTGGTGAACTGAAAAAATAATTTATCTGTATAAATGATGAGTTCACATATAAAACTTACTAGTTTGCTCTCCTTTGATTAATCCTAAATACCCTATTCTTCCTTGATTTTGAAGCCCCAGGGATCAGGATGACAATCACAGACACAGTGCTCCTCTAATCAATTCCTGTTTGAACAAGAGCACCTTTGACAGAAAAAAGCATGCAGTCTCAAAAATTTCCAGTGATGAAAATCTACCACAACCCTTGGTAAATTGTGACAGTGATCAACCACTCTCAGTTCTAAAAATCGTGCCTTGTGTTGAATCACAGCTTGCCCAACTTTAACTCCCAGTTATTAGTGCCTGCTGTGCATCTGAGGGCATTTATTCCAGCATTCGGGTTTGCTGTGGTACCACAGGGTTCACCACTTTCTCCTTTTTTTGTTGCTTGCTTTTTTCTCTCCCACATGTTTGTGAAATGTTTCATTCAGGGGCTGACCACAGTTCTCTTCATTGCCACAGGCACCGCACTGCAGCAAATTCCAGTGCAGCATAGCTGGCACCCACCAGCCTGCACCGAAAATGTCCTGTGGACCAGAGGCTTGCCCAGTGCCTCCAACCTTGGCACCCTGCCCCACAGCTCTCCCATCCTCCTATATCCCAGCAGCTGGGTATTAATGGGCTAGCACATTTTCATGGAGAAGAAGGTACATGAAAATTGCTCCATAACTTTTCTAAAATCATCATGAAAATACTTCCTGTTTTGAGGGATGTTCTTTCTCTGGTTTATATCAAAACAGCTACCTCTAAAATACCAGTAAAGAGCTGAATGCAGAAGATCATGTAAGATAAAGGATATATTTTGTAGACAAAGCTTCAAGGCGTGAGGTGACTGAGTCTTGCAGAGCAGCTATGGCTTCACACTTACAGGACTCCTCAGTTGTTACGAGACTGCTCGTCATGGCTCCTAAGAGAGAAAACAGCATTTAGAACACTTAGGACAACCATCGAACATGTAAATCCCAGGAAAATGCTTGATTCTGCAATGGGAGTTGAACTCATGCTGTGAGACTACAGCAAGCACTGTAGCCCAGGGCAGTCAGGAAGAGGAGACGGCAGTGAAGAGGAGCGGGTGTGCAGCCATAGATGTGTGTTGTAGTCCAGAAACAGGGCAGGGAGAGAGAGCTGGATTGTAACCAAGGAGGAAGGCAGAGCAGGGAGTTCCTCGCCTGCCTGAATCCTCTGCACTCTTTAAATTAGGCCATTATTGAACAAAGGAAAAGCCTTCTTAAAAGAGGGCCTACAATTATGAAATACCCTTTCAACAAGTTACCAAGAGGTATTACTTGTATGTAATACCTGACTATTGATGTGTGTTTTTACGTTGCTTCCATAGGCAATGACAGCAGATTATCTGATTATTTTTTCTGTAGAGAAATAAATGCATAGCTGAGCTGATCAATGCCAAACAAATTGTGTGAGCATTATAACAGTAAAGCAATAGAAGTATTATACCTGGATAGAATTTATCTTTTTTTCTGAACCGTTTCTCTTTCTTTTTTTTGTTTATGTCATTGTTATGCCATTGACATTTCTATTTTGCAGGGAAACTGAAAAATCTATGAACCTATGAATCTATTCATTTCTAGCAGTGCAGAAAATCATTTGTCTTAGAGCCAACGTTGAAACTGGTGTCTCCTTGATTCCACTGAACCTGTATTTGTTCAGCTTCCTTCTCTGGAACATTCCACCGGCTTTATGGTCAATGTACAAAGAAGAGCTGTTCAAGAGTCAGCTGGAGGAAGGCCAGTTCAAAATATCACACCAAGATGGTTGGTTTCCAACCAAATGCCAGTTAATTTTTTGTTTGCACTTAAATTCTTCAATGACAGATACAGATCCTCCTTGGATTATGTCTGTTTTAACAGAATTACTTTTCCAACCAAATTCGGCAACTGCCCAAAGGCACCCTGAAGTCTTCTACAGTCCTTCTGCAAAATTTAGACTCTTCCAGTTGCCACAGGGGTGCCCAACAAGTCATACAAAACATGACAGAGTTCTGGTTTTACACTGTATTTACGTTTAAGTTCAGGCCTACAAAAAATACTATTTTTGCAGATGGTGTTTGACTATTTTCACCTATTTTATAACTTTGCTCTTACATAGGGTCCTTAGCCACCTGATGTAATGGCAAGTTATTCCTGCTCTGAACCAGAGATCAGACTAGGTGCCTCTTGAAGTCCCTTGCAACCCAACTTTAATGATGATTCTACATCAAATGGTGCAGAGGTTCTGCCAAGAGTTGATGCCATTATTGCCCATCTGAAAGGAAAACAGTTGGTCAGTTCACGCCTGCCCCACTCAGCTTGGAGGAGTGGACAGGAACATTTTAGAGGTTCAGCATTGCAGTAGTTCTTCTGACACCAGTGGTGTTCCCATCTGACCCTGATCGTCCTCCAAATTGCTCATACTCAACCAAGTCCCATGCACCAGAAACGGATGCTCCAGAACCCTGCCTTGCCAATCCCCCCAGTTATTCCCATTTCATAAGGAAATGCAGATTATAACTGATTATTATTTTTTTAAAGTACAGTGAAGTCCTTAAATGTGTGGTGATAGGTAAAAGTCAACTGTAGTTTTAAATGCAATCACTGCTGTAACAGGAAGGATCAAGCTAGCTGAAAACACTCATGGCAACAGGCAGAAAAGCATGAGAAAGGATTATACTTTCAGGGAGTTTGTGAGTTGATAGAATATTTCTCAAACAGATTAAAAGTATTTAACACATTAAAAAGAGGTACTCCAATACATACTTCAAATATATATTCACCAAAAAACACCAGTAAATTATTACTTGAGCATGTTTTCTCATCTGTATTTAAGGTAAAGCCTTCATAGCAGTTACACGTATATGATCCACCATTACTCACACAGATCTGCTCAAAGCCAGGGGTCTCTGGTGCACACACATCAGTTCCTACAGAGTGCATTTTGGAGAAACAGCTATCCAAAAACAAGGTAAGTTCTTTTAATGCTTCCCCATGGCAATAATTTCACATGCTGGGAGCCTGTCCTACGACAGCCTCCACAGAATACTGAGATGTGTAATGATCTTGCAGTGGAGAAGCCACATTAACTAATTGCCTTACTGGGGTCTCCCCCAGCCCTTCCTCTGTACAGTCTCTGCTCACTCTGGCCACAGCTGCCGAACCCCCTCCAGCTGGGGAGTGCCAGATCACCCCCAAAGGCATGCTAGGAAAAGTTTCCAGTGCACAGTAACTTTACAGTATGGAGACCCAGAAGGAAAGAGACTTTTTTTTTTTAAATTACATTTTTACTATAACTCAAAGTCAGCTGAGAAGCTAAAGAAACAAACAGCAACATGAAATTCAGCCTGGAGTGGAGGACATCACCTCAAGCTGTCTCCTGCATAGTGGTACACAGTTTCCACAGCACTGCACAGTGTGTAACAGTGTGACTAACCCCAGCTCTTCTTTCCAATTATTTCTCAGTTCTGGGTTTGCTGAATATTGCATAGTTTTCTAAAATACAGTGAAGGCCTTAGTCATAAGATGTTAAAGAAAGACCAAACAGTAAGCAGTTACTGGCATTGCTGCATATAACGTGCTTTGTATCTCTGAATGTTGCCCAAAGTGGAAAAGGCAGAGTGACACAGAACTATCCTGTAACACAGGAATGCACGTGAAAGTTTCTCAAACAGATCCAAATATATTAACCTGCAAATGAGAGCTATTTCAGTACATGGGGAAGGTGTGGTGGGATAGGCAACAGCAATCTGCTCTTACTTGAGCAAGTCTTCTTGTCTGGATTCAGAGTGTAGCCTTGGTAGCAGTCGCAGGTGTAGAACAGATCATCTCTCACGCAGACCTGCTCACAGTCGTGCCTTCCTGGGGCACACATGTCCACAGCTGAGAGAGGCATTTGAGACAAGAAGAATATTAATCAATACCCAAACTTTAGTTTAATTGATGTCAGAAATTCCCATATCTTCATTTGGATCCAAACCAGGACGTTTTTATTGCATATCAGCACGCTACTAGTTGTGGTAGGGTATACAGAGTGTCTTTTTTCCTGGCTGTCAATATTACAAAATCAGTATGATTTCTGGAACCCTGGCAACACTTTCTTGCAGTTGTAACATTGCAAAAGCAGCTAAACTAGCAGTGACCCAGTTACAAAATAATTATCCAAAGGAATTTCAAAGAACAAAAATCTGGATTTTAAAAGAGTATTTGGCATTATTTCAGCTTTAATTGAGTTGGATAAGACACTCTTTTATGGAGTGAAAAGACCACAAACAGAAGAGTATACATGGCTGTGGAAAAAAAAAAGAGAGACATAGCACCCGCTGCCAGTTACAAAGTGGGCGCTTTATGTGTGAGGCTGATGTTTTCTGCCAAATTTAACACGTCAGCTCTGAAAGGCCAAGCTGAGAAGGAGTTCCTATATTTGGATATCTTTGCAATAAGGGGGTCCAATAAGGCACAAGCAAAGAAAGAAACAAAGAAAGAAAGAGAAAGAAAGAGAAAGAGGCAAAGAGAGACAGAAAAGACTCCCTCCGGGACCTAGACTATTTTTATCATATCACAAAGACCTGGATGGTTGAGAAATCATTAGCAAAAAGCAAGCTTGTTAGGGAAATAATCTGAAATTTAACTATGCAGGGTGAGAATCAGTGCTATGAAAGGGGGTTCAGGATTGGACTCCCAAAGGGATGCCTAACTGAATTCACATTCCCTTGCAGATGTTTACTGCCTCTGTATAATGCCAGGTGAGAGTTAATCTAGGAACTGTATTTACAAAATCAGCTCCTAAACTAGGCAGGAAGAAATACTGAGGCCCTCTGGCTTCGCCTCCTTGAGATGCAAGACCTATGACTTAAATGGAGAGATTTGTTTTGGAACCTCCTGGAAGAGGGAGCCTGGGTTCAGCACTTTGTCACAAAAAATGTAGTAAGGAAAGGGATTATGATGAAAGTGGGAAAAAAGGATTCTGTGTAAATAAATAATGAGTGAGACATCCAAATAAATTAGTGATGTTCAAATCCCAATTAAGTGAAAATAATATAGGATACATATCAATTTATAGGGACTACATACCTACATCCTTAAGTACCAGCTATTATCCTCCTATTCTCCACAAGAGACCAGCACTGGGAAAGAACATTTCCCTCCATCCTCTAGAGCTCTAAGGCTGGAGGATTTTTGAAGGTCTAAACACATCCACCAGAAAGAGTGATCACACTCACGATGACACAGATGTAATCTCTCTCCCAGCACAGTCCTTTTCTCCATCTCAATCCCTTGTGCTGCTTTACTGAAGAGTTTTCTGACACAGGTAGTACACATCAAATATTCCCACCAAATCTGTTATTCTTCTCCTCTTTCAGGTGGATATGGCAATTTGTGCTCTGTGGGTGTGAATATGCTGTGAAGTCCTCAGGGAAATGCCAAATGGCATTTCAATTATACCAGTTACAGGCTTCGCACAACTGCAGAAGAGTCATGGGTCTGAAATTATTACTGGACACATGAAGAAATAAAGTTGCACTGTGTTTTCAGGAGTTGTACAGAAACTCTTGTATAATTTACCAGAAAAATATCATAAACTAACCTGATTTTAAAAAGCTACTTGCTTTTAGCTAAATACAGTATTTCCTTGATCAGGTCTTACCCGAGCAAGTCTTCTTATCTGGATTCAGAGTGTATCCTTCAAAGCAGTCACAGCTGTAGGATCCATCATTACTCAGACAGACCTGTGCACAGTCATGCCTTCCAGGAGTGCACATGTCCATGGCTGTGGGGAACCATGTTTTGGAGAAAAAACACTATTAATCCCTCCCAGACACTCAAGCATTTTAAATACTTCAACATTTATAAATACAATTTAATTAGGATTCAAATGACAATTCAAATGGTGCATTATTATATTATGCTGCAGACAACTGAATTCAGTTACTAATTATTTAATGGAGGAGGCAGATATCTGGACTCCAAGATATTACTATACCGCATCTCACGCAATTCTGTCTCTCAGCAATTCAAGCAGTCCTGAATATCCCCAGTAAGGATGAAGCTAAACCACCACACTGGGATGACCTGCTATGCGTCAACGCAGAAGTTGTTGTTTCTTGCAGTGTTAGCAGTGACTACGGTGAATACAAAGTTAACTTCATACTTTCATCTATGAGGGGAAGGCAGGCAGAAAGAGCCTGGTGTGATGTGTAGGAATGCCACTAAATTGCAAAGAGATATAAAGCCTAGTGAGAACAAAAGCAAACAAAAAAAAAGCAGGAGCACTAGAAGATTATGTTCTCTTTTCAAACATAAGAAGAGTGAAAGCTTCAGTGCTTATGTGCCCTCAAAGGGGGGGATGCTCTTATCAGTTATAAACCAGCTACCCTAAGGCTGCTGCTGCTCAAAACTTCTGGATTTAAAGAAACCATTTCAGAGAAGTATTTGGGGGAAAATATGTTTTTTATAAAAGGATAACTTTTCAGGGTGACAATTCAAGAAGCTGTTGCCAGTGTAAGACTGGGGTTGCTATATTGCAGATCTGCACAGCTTGGAAGCAGAACCAGCAACTGTAAAAAAAAAAAAAAAAACAAACAAAAAAACCAGTTTTGACAAGAGAGATGGAGAGGACAGGGGAAAATTTATCAGGTTTTAAGATCTCTATGGACCAGTGGCACTTGCTCTCCAATGGAGACACAGTGCTGGTCAGAATCTCTGGAATCGGTTCATGCTTTCCCAGGGACTAAGTGATGTTTATGAAGTTCTGTGAAGACCATGAAATGGTAGGTAAGTGCCAACTTGCAGTTTGCGATCAATACATTTAAGGAAGAATGCAATTTTACTGTTACTGGAACCAAGGGAAAAGCTTACAGGCAAATTCTCATTTTGAGAGTTGATGTCTGTAAGCGATTTTTCAATTAGAAACAATGAAGATATCTCTCAGAAAACAGATCCACATCTCCATGAGTTTCATACATTAAAGTAGCCTTTAATTCTTACCTGAGCAAGTCTTCTTATCTGGATTCAGGGTGTAGCCTTCATAGCACTCACAGACATAGGATCCGTTGTTACTCACACAGACCTGATCACACTCATGCCTCCCAGGTGCACACATGTCCACAGCTGCAAGACGCGTGTTAGAAACAATTCATTGTTAATAAAAAGCAGCTTGGGATGGAGCACACATTCACATTTTCAAATATATTTCTATTTGGAATCAGCTCAGAAATGGCAATAGTAGTTGAAGGCATTAGAATAAGTGGTAGGATAAAATATCTACAGAGTGTCTACACCTGAAGACATTGTTTTGGCATCCGGCCCTAAAGAATGGATCTGTAGGCATGATAAAAAAGGATGGTGATGGAATCAAGCTACTTCTCACCATTAGCTGCAGCAGACTTTTATTTATAATTTAGTATTAGATTTATTATTGAAGAAGATACAAAAGTTCACCGTTTCAACAGAAGTACACAGGTAGCTTCTCAAATCCAATTATGGTGTTAGGAAGTGATTTATTTTTCGAGTTGAAGACATTTACTGCAGGAGCGATACCTGAGCAGGTTCTCTTATCTGGATTGAGAGTGTAGCCTTCAGAGCAGTCGCAGAGGTAGGATCCGCCGCTACTGACGCAGACCTGCTCGCAGTCGTGGCTCCCAAGTGCACACACGTTCACAGCTACAAAGGGCATTTACAGAAAAGGCATTTCAGCCATCCCAGAGGAAAGAAACAGTCATTAATAATTTACACTTACAAAAGTACATCTTGCACTGTTTGCTGGATTAGTAGCAGTAAATGTCAGAGCTGTGTCACCGTTACAGGCGCCTTTTGCATTCTTTTGTAGCCAGAAGAAGGAGCTCATAAATGACACTGGAACAACTGCAATGAAATAACTGAATCACCTGACAACAATGAAATAAATAAAAATAATAATTAAGAAATAACTAATCACCTGGGAAGATGAATTGAAAAGGGTGCAACAGGGAGAGAGAGATTTTAAGCACTGGAAATGATAACTCGGCAATGAAAAGGATCTTCTGGCTTATGGTATCCAGTCCTTTCTGCTACTGACTACCAGTTTAAATGATCCCAAAATATATCAGCTGCTGTCTGGCAGTTTACTAACTTCTGCTCACTGGCTTACAACCTGATTTATTAATTTCTACTGCAGTGTAAAAAAATCCATGTAAACTGAAATGCAATAGGAAAGAAAAAATAAATAAAATAAAACTGCAAGAGAAAGAGCAGCAAAAAAATCTGCCCGTGCAAGGCAGGTACGTGAGGGCTACAGCTGCCTTGTTCCGTCAGGTTTAGAAAGTCAAGACCAAAAAAGGATATGGAGGAAAGTCTCTGCAGTAAGGCAGCTCTACAGTCACATGAACGTCTGAATTAAAGGACAGTACAGAAATAATGTCCAAATCTCAGAGAACTGAGAAGCCGAAACTGCAAACTTCAAAATGAGGTACAGTTTTCAGGGACCAGCAAACAGTGAGGCGGTCGCATCAGACTGAGAAAACAGAGAACAGCGATACCTAAAGCTGCGCGATGGAGGGAGCTGACAGAGGTGTTGTGGGGCAGGGCAGCCAAAATCCCCGCTGTAACACTGCAGGGCACTGTGTGTGCTGACCGCCTCCTCCTTCACAGAGGGTCCAACTACACCACTCATTAACTTCTGACCAATTTTTCTATTTCTTTATTATTTTCTATTATTTCTATTATTTCTATTACTTTACAGCCATTGCTTCTTTGGTCACATCAAGATGCCTCTTTTTCTGTAAAGAAAACCTAGATACTTTAAACTCAAATGATTTTTAGATGACTAAATTTAGATGAGATGAAAAAGGAAAAAGCAAGAGGGAAGGAGGGAGAAGGTGGAGGAAAAAGTGTGAAGGGGGCAAAAAAAAGAAAAAAAGAAGGAAATTAAAGGGAAAAGGAGAAAAACAGAAAGAAAAGTCCATTGTTAACTGAGATGTTATTTACATGAGTAGTTGACTGCTGGTAAAATCAAACTCCAAAGCAACAGTGGTGAGACAAGAAATGAGAAGCAAGAATGCTTGAATCTTCTCATGTATTTTTGAACGCAAGGCAACATTGCCCATCTTCTAAATCGTGGAAGATTTAGAGGTGCCTTAGTAAGGCTGATAGAAAGAAGATTTAGAGGTGCCTTAGTAAGGCTGATAGAAAGTGTGTCTTGTATTTCCACTGGCAAAAACAAATCTCAGACCAAGACAGTGTCTTTTCATTCTGCTACACCCTCGGGAATAAGAGAATTCATCTCCATGGCTTATGAACAAAATCTGTGGGTGATATTTTCAACCGTAACTGAGCAGCTCAGTCTCAAATGGTCAGATTTCCGTGGTAGGAAAGTCAAGCTTCCACTCACTTGGACACCGATTCAAGGCTAAGGTTCTCCATCTCCAGGATGGTCTCATGTTGAATGATGCTCTCAACGCATCAAGAGCTTGATCTTAGCCAACTATTTTGCCCCTGAACATTAGTCTTCTTATTTTCAGTTCACCCTACAAACAAATTTATTTGCCTTGGCCAAAGCAAGGAAAATCCTAGTTGTCATTGGTAAGTCCAGATTTCTGGCCAAAAAGCAGTCTGGAACTGGAAAAGACCCAGTTTACCCACACTGTCCTATGAGACCCTTTCAGATTCATTTGGTTTGTAGGAACATTTTTATAAACTATTCCTTTTACCTTGTTCAAGTGTGAGCTCTCTTTGGTTTATCCTCCAGCTCAGCAGGGGCGTCACTACTATGCTTCAGCACAATAAACAGCACGTTTACTCTTAAGAACAAGAGATTTTTATTTGGTGCTATGAAAGGACTTGCTTTGGCGAGAACATAGGTGGAAAATTCATGCTATGTTCACAGCACACAGTCCTGTCCAGCCAGGTGGGCACTCGTACCCACTCACAGCTACAGAGAGAGGATGCAGTCACATCAGCTACACAACAGAGTGTCAAGCCAAACCTCAAGGCATTTCCTATGTTAATTATTGGGCAAAGTGTCCTGTCTATAGATGGTCCTACACTTTTATTTTATACCTAGAAAAAGAGGTCTATTCACTCTATTCAAAAGGTAAGGCTCTGAAATAACAAAGTAACACCTTGCCAACCAAGTTCTCAAGGCAATGGCAGTTACTTAAATTCTCTTACAATGTTCTTTACACCTGGTTTTACCCATTACTTGCTGGAGGCTCAGTTCACGTGTAGCTTCTTTAGAAACTTACTAGAAAAATCTATTTCATACAAGATTTGTAATTGTCAAAAAGTCATCGTTTGATTTTTGTGAGTAGGACTGTGGCATAGCTACCTATAAGCGGTTTTAAATGCTCCAGATACATGAGCTTTTTTTTTTCTGTAAATTACATCGCTGGTGGAGTTCTAGTCCAAACCAACTCTACATCCAGCATTTTTCCAAGACCCACCCTGAGAGAGCAAAGCTAATTCAGCCCACCCCTGTCCCCATTGTGCAAATCGGGCACGCTGAAGAAGCCCAGCAATGCCTGCAGAGTGAAAGCCCATCCCAGATGACCTGCTGTTGTGTTGGGGCACTTCATCCTCCACCAAATTTCTCAAGCTAGCATGGTGGTTCACCTGCCACGCTGATTTTCCTACTCTGAATCTGTAAGGAGCCCTTCAGCACCACACCTCCACCCTCCTTGCTTCCCAGTGAGATGGAAAAAGAAATGAGCAGACTGCACAGCTCCGCTGTGTGCTCTTGGCAAGTCAGTAAATACAAGCAGCCATATAAAATAAAAAA